AGCCCTGCACCTTCCAGACGGGTTGGCTGGAGCAATTTTTAACCTGTACATTATTCTGCTGATTGTACCTGAAAGATGGAAAATGAAATTGATGGGCACAACATCCACAGCTGTGTCCCCAGAGGCAGGAAAGCCCAACTCACAATGTTACACAGCCTAACAAGTGCCATTGATTACCAGCCTGGTGCTCTGTAAGTAAACAGTGTGATACAAACCCCTCTGTGGACTCATTCCTCACATAAATTACTTAGCCACGCAGTTTGAATGCTTATTAAAGTGTCACTTGAAAGCCTTTAATAATAATGCCTCTGAACATTTATTTTCAGTAGAGATGACTGCAGCTATAAAGTGGAATAGCTGTTGAGCTTCTCACCAAAACCTGTCTCCCTTTGTCATTTATAAATGGGTATGAAGAGAAGACAAGCACTTACAGATACTGAACAATTACCTTGTTGATGGTGTACATAATGTAATCCTGCCTATGATTTCTGAGCCTAACACAGAGCTGATCCGCCAGGAGGAGGATCTGCTCAGGAAGCACCCCTGGGATGCTTCCCACAGCAGGAAGGCAGCATCTCACAACACAAGATGGCACCTACAGAAACACATTCCACGACTTCCATTTCGGAACGCACTGTACCCAGATGAAGCACACATGAAATGTGCATACAGATACGCTCGTATCAGTGGATACGAGCCTTGGTCCTTAAAACAGATGAAGGTTTAGAGGAATTAATACATAACCCCCATTAAAAGCAACCCCATGAGATCATCTCTGGGAATCACAGGCCAGCTGACAATCAGGAAGTTCAGAATGAAAGTTACTCTTTTTCTTCTCCACTTCCTCCCCTTCATTTTTTAAGCCTCACTACAAGTTCCAAGCTACTTCCAGTTGTGTAGGCTGGAGTTGGGGTAGAGCTCAAAAGAAGATTAGCTTTGAGCTAGTTCTTTTGTGTGATACGCTGGTATCTGTCATGGTCAAGGTGCCAGTTTATTCTGATGCATTAACTCCGCTCATATGGAAGTGACTTCCCGGTAAGCCGTGCCTCTGCTCCACTGCACATCCCAGCCCTGACCTGCCTGTGACTCAACGGGAGATCCTTCACGATGACATGAGAAAGACACATGCCATGATCCAGGGTTTGCTCCTCCAGCTACAGCTGCCCTAAGAAAGCACTGATGCCACCTTGGGCAGTCCCTGCAAAGCACCAGTGTACCTTGCACCAGTCAACAAAACCAAAGGGACCAGACTTGAGCTGCCAGGCTCCAATGAAAGGCAAATGATCTTGTTTCATTTCCCTCTTTCCCCCAAGTTTAAACAGACAAGAAACTGATATTCTGCTCTGCAGGTTAATGAGAGCTTGAGTTGTTCCCCTCAACAGAAACCCTCACTAGCACCTGCAGCACTTACAACAGATCTAATACATAAAAACTAAGTACTTGGTGACAGACTGAATACTTGTCTTATGGCACCCAACAACATCCACAAGGTAATTGCTGTAAAATATTTAACACATCTATTAATTATCCTGGAATCCTGTTCCACTCAGCTAATCCCCTCCTTAATTAGTTTCCTACATATATTTTGTAATTCTATAGAATACTATCCATGCAGACTCACAGGCTTCCTGTAAATGCCATTGCTCTGCTTCAAGGAAGCTCTTTCCCATCCCATTTTCCATGCTCAGGTGGTACTCCTCTGACCTTAAGTCACATATTCATCGTAAAAGGACAAGAATGCCAACCTTGGGATGTCATTCACACCTATGGCAAGCTGGATGGAGTAAGTCCTGAATTATGTGAGAGTTAAATGTCCCTGTTAAGGGGAACAAAACCCCAGTGAAGACACATCACTGATGCAGAGCCAAGGTTTGCTGACCCCATGGTACCATCCCTGTGTTCCCTCCCCTCAATTATGGTGAGAAAAGCTCTGAATGAGTGAAAAAGCAGCAGAAGATATCCCTTCCAAACACAGGACCATGAAAAGCAGCAGCCAGTTAAAGATTACATCGAAGGGTACATGTCCCAGAGAAAGTAAGTTTACATCATGTCCCCAAGCAGAAAGCCTACAGAGATGGGGGGACGTGACCCCCAGCACAGCTCAAACTGCTCCTCCAAACACCGCTTCTCTTCAAGGCATTTACACAACCAGACAATGCCTGCAAGATCCTACTCACTGATGACTGTCGTAGCTCCCACAAGCTCTACAGAGCTTACCACAACTACAGAACGCAGCACCACCTGAAATCCAACAGCTTCAGCCCTGATACTTGTAAGTGAAACCAGTTACAGATCTGTCACTGCTAAGTGACGGCACTTTGGGAAATGAAGTAAGACCCCGGTGATTATTGGAATGCTTGGCCCGTACAAGTGTAAGGAGATGAGCAGCACTAAATATTCACCAATTAATTAATAGCACAGTTGATACCTCTTGAAACAAAGTGGTTTTTAAGTTAACTTTGATCAGAACTGTGAAATGAACCGTTTCTCCTTCTTTGTACACTGATTGGTCTAATCAGGCTTCATTTCTTGATGCACTCACTATCTAAAACACTGTATCTAAGCAAACATCTAATGCAAATGATGACTTTCAACCTCTTCACAGACAACAGTCAGATAAAAACAGGTTTAAGAAAAAACAATGCTCAGTCATGCACACAAATACTCTTTGCTTTGAGAAACATGGTAACATCTTCACCGAGTTTCCACTGTTACAGCTCCTACATGTGCAGTCATCAGACATCACAAAAGCCAGCACAAACCTCCTGAGCTTTGTTTCTTCCCCTCCCATCCCCAAACCACCTCCATAAATTAAGTTCCCAACAGTGCTGAAATTTATCTCAAACATAAGCACTTTTCTTTAACTTGGAAAGCATCAAATATGAAGGTCAGCAACAAAAGGGTGAGTACCAGTTTGTGCTACCAAGACCACGCAAAGGAACCCCTGGAAGGGACAGTTTAGTTCATTCAAAGCCCTTACAAGTATGAGGGTATAACTGCTATATATACAGATATATATCTACACACAAAAAAGCACTGGTCAAAGCTTTACGACTACACTCACTGTTCAGAGTCTTCTTACCTCTATTTAATTCAAAGAAAAGTTTGCATATTCTTGTGTAAAGAATCCGTATGACTAACTTGAGATACTTCATTATTAAAAGATACTTAACTAAGAGCTAACTTAAGATATGTTATTATTAAAACACACAGCAAAGAGAAGCAATAAAAACGTGCTTGTATTTAATACCAACTAAAACAGGGAAGAGTAACAGTTTAAGTTTATTACCTAGCTATTAAGCTTATAAAACTGAATCAGTCCATGTCATTTTAAAGAGTTTTAATGAAAACCAATTACAGGTTCTTGCCTGTATTTTATCACCACTGCTGCGGAGCCAGGCTGCTGAGGCACCCGCAGGTACTTGCTGCAGGAGCAAAGATCCTGCACAGACAACCACACCCCGAGAAGCTTCACTGTGGGACAGCCACAGCTCCCACAGGTTTCAGCTGCTTCCAGTCAAAGGTCATCAGGAGCCTCCCAATCCCTTCCTGGCTCTGAACAGATCTCCAGCTTTAATTCATTTGCCCCTGGAAGCTGAAAGCAGCCCGAGATGTTTATCCTGCTCAGCACAACGCAGATTACTTGAAATTCCACTTGGGATTTGGAGCTGTGGGCCCAACACACACAAAATAATCACTCCGACAATACGCAACAACAAAAAAACTCCATTACTTTCCATCAAACACGAATGAACGGGCACAAGACGAGCTAGAAGTTCTGCTCTTTAAAAGCAAAACCAACACCCCAGTAAAAGTCTCCTACTTATCCATTATTAGCTGACATACTTGACCTGGTTTAGATGTATGCAGGCCCCAGAGAAAACAACCACCGTGTGAAGTGTGTGACTGGAGTGCAGGCCACGAAAACATAAGCTCAGATAAAACGGCAGCTGATACTTTTCAGGAGCAGTGCATGCTTCCAGATGAAGCTTTTGCTAAAAGCAGAGAGGAGTTTCTGGGTGGGGGACACAGAACTCTCCTCAGGGGGCAGTGAGGTTGCACTGAGGCTTCAGCAGGGAGAAGAGCTGCGGGTTAAGGACCCACCTGGGGTCTGCTCAGGTTTCTCTCCACAGAAGGAGAAGAAAACCTTTCCCAGACATCTGTAAATAGATATCACTCAGACCTAAGAGACTTCAGTCCCTTCTGTTGAAGCTCAGCCGCAGAGGATGAGCTTCGTGGTGTGACCGAACCCACACCACATGAAGGCACACGGGGACTCAGGGCCAGAGAACCCGCTGGGTGCCTTCAGGTAACCCCCCCCGACCCGCGCTGCCTCCACCACCCTCGCCCCACCGGCGGGCTGACAACACGTACAGCGGGGCACACGGAGGCCCCGGTACCAGCGGAACGGCGCCACTTCACGGCGGGCCGGGGCAAACACCCGCCCAGAGCCCGCTCCCGGCTCCGAACAACCGGATCCTCCGCCCTTCCCCAGGTAGACAGAAGCTTTCCCCGCCACAGGCCCCGCCGTGCCCGGTGCCCTCCCCACCCCGAGAAGCGACCGAGATTGCGGGCGGCCTCCGCCCGCTCCCCGGAGCCGCCACCCGAGCCCCAGCCCGGCCGCCAGACCCCGGCGCCCACCTGCCCACGGTCTGGTTGGCCAGCTGCTTCATGCGGTTGAACTGCTTCTTCATGGCGGCGGCCGCTCCCCGGCCTCCCGCCGGGCTCCTGCCGCTCCGCCGCCGCCGCCGCCACACCGCCCGGCCCGGCCGCCGCCCCGCCCACTCCGCAACGCGCCGTCACTTCCGGCCCGGGTTGCCCTGCGGGAGGAAACCCGGATGTCCCGCCCGGAGCCCGGATGTTGGAGGGCTGCAGCGGGAGGGAGGCTCATCCGCCCGCTGCTGCTGCTGCCGCCGCTTCAGGAGCGGCGGCTACGCCAGGACCCGTCCTCCCGGAGCGCACAGTACCGGGCCCTGCTCCGGTCAGGCCGCGTCATCGCGCGCTCCATGGCGGCCACTGCCTGTGACGGTCTGGCCTCCACCGGCATCGACGAGGCGGACGAGGCGGTCCGGGGGACGTGCGAGGATGCGTCCGTCTGCAAACGGTAGCGGTGTTTTGGGGCGACGTCCTCCGGCACCGCTAAGACGGTGCTGCGGGGGACTGAGAGCAGGCGGAGGGCGGGCCGGCTCCCGGATAAGGGGGGGCTGGAGGAAAGGGGGAAGAGCCCGTTGGCTGCGGGAGGGTGTCCGGTGGCCTGTGCCCGCACCGGGGCCCGAGCCGCTGGGGGGATAAACCTCGGAACACAGTGGCGTTCCACTGCGAGAGCGTGGCCTGGCTCGGGTTTAGCCCGCAGGGCTGCTCCGGACAGTCCTGCCCCTGCTCTAGAACACGGCCCGGCTTCCGACTTAGAGCCTGTTTGTAGGGCAGCGTGCGTGGTGCTGATAGCGGGGTCGGGAACTTCAGTCATGTTTGATATCTTGGTTAATATCCCGTGATATTTTCCCCAGTTCTTTGCTTCTCCTTCTCTGCAGGCTGGGCTGGGAGAGGGGGTCGGTTCTGCTGCTCTGCTGTTCATGGGTGTGAAGCTCCCTTCTGTTATTGCTGCCTTTTGTCCCATCCTTTTGTTACTGGGGTAGCAGCAGATTGTTGGGTGGTTGTGTTTGTTTTCGAGAGTTTGCCCTTTCAAATCAGCCGTAAGGCCAGTGAGTTCTGCTAGAATGAAATAGCACTGTTGTCTGGGTTAAAGTGGTCTCCAGAAGCTCTGGAACTAGGGCAAACAGCTCATAGCGTGGTGAGGGGTATGACTAAAGTGCAGTTTGCGTGTGCTCTGTAGAGCTGTGGGCAGACAATTCCTGTGTTTGCTGGCCCTCAAGGAGGAAACATTTGAGATTAGGTTCTGTGCCTGCAGAAGTTCATCCAATAGCGCAGAGGCCATTGAAAAGTTGCTTGTTTAATGTAGCAATAGCTAAAAAGTTAACTATGCTTTATGTAACTTCTTAATTGAAGTAGTCCCGTGTGTTATTGTGAGGGTGCTGAGGCACTGGCACAGGGTGCCCAGAGAAGCTGTGGCTGCCCCATCCCTGGCAGTGCTCAAGGCCAGGTTGGACACAGGGGCTTGGAGCAAGCTGCTCTAGTGGAAGGTGTCCCTGCCCATGGCAGGGGTTGGAGCTGGATGAGCTTTAAGGTCCCTTCCATCCCAAACCAGTCTGGGATTCTGTTTGATTCTGCAGATTGTTGTAACCTGTCTCTCCATGTACTCTCCCAGGCCAGAGAGTGACCTCTTCAGCCTGTGTGTATCTTTTACTGTAAATCTCAGTGGCCTTATTTCCTAATTCTCTCATTTTCCCCCTCTGCTGGACAGGTTTGCTGTAAGTGTTGGCTACTGGAAGGACCCTTACATCCAGTATTTTGTGAGACAAGCCAAAGAAAGAAAAGCACCTGAAATCAATAGAGGCAAGTTGGCATGTGAATGTGAATGAAGATTGTTCAAATGTGTTCTTAATTGCTCTGGAAGAGCACCTGGCAAAACCTTTCTGTACTGGGTATCGTGGAGCATAGGAAATTTGAATCAAAACTCTTCTTTGCTTTCTGTGTTCTTAATGGAACGTCTTTCTGTGCCTCAGGGTGCAGAAATCCTTACAAAGCAATCAGAAGTGTTGTTTTGACCCAGGACATTGGGGTGTGTCTCTGCAGATTGTGCTCCCCAGCTAAAATTGTTCTGCTCAGTTCCAGGTGAAACTTGGCTAAAACTTTTATTGGAAGGAATCTTGATTTATCAGTACATCAGATGTTGTTAATAATTAAAATCAAACAAACCTTTTAGGTGTGTTAAAGAATGCATTATTCTTCCTAAGAAAAGCCATTTTTAAAAGGCTACCTAAAAATCTTAACAAGTGTTAATCATCAAGTGCTAAGTGAAAACAGTAATGAAAACCAAACCTTGTTTCCTGCTGCTGTTAACAGGCTATTACGCCCGTGTCCATGGAGTCAGTTACCTGATTAAAGCTTTCCTGAAGAAGACAGAATGCAACTGTCAGATTGTAAATCTGGGGGCTGGCATGGACACCTTGTTCTGGAGATTGAAGGTAATGACACTTGGGAGTATTGAGCTGGGCTGCACACAAGGATCTGTGTGGAAGCCTGGAGTACTCTTCTGTGAGGGCTTGTTGGTGTTACGTTCTGTAGTAGGGCAAGGAGTAATGCAGCCAGGCTGTGTCTTTCCTCACGTCTGGTCTTGCTTGGGATTAATTTAGGTACCTTTAAATCTCGGTGCAGTTTTCACTGTTATTTACCAAAAAGTCTGTGACAGGAAGCTGACCTCTAGTGGACTTCCAGGAGCAGAGCTTGATGGCACCTTTGCCTGTCTTACCCTATATTAAAGCAGGAATAAGGTACCAAAGTATAGGTTTGTAGAAGCTCGATTTTAAATGTTACTTTATGTATGTAAATGTGAATTTATATATGTAAATATACATATGTCTCTCTGTGTTTATTAACTCATAAAAATGCAGATTACTCCAATACTATCTGATAGTATCATTTGACTGCACACACCTCTAGTTACCTTCTCATTAGCATTTACATCTCTTCATTTGATGTCTGGAAGAAAGTCCAAGGCAGCTAGATGCCTTTTGCTCAGTCACAGTCCATTATATTTCCTTCAATAGAAGGGAAAAAAGAATGACTTTGTTTCTGAGAGGTGAAGCTTTTTTCTTACCTGCATTCCTATGAAAGCTGTCACTACACAGTTTTATTAACTTTCTGTAGCAGTGATTTTAAAAGCTAAAGCGGGGCCTCTAGTTCCAATTCTTTCTCCTTGTGAAGAGGTGTGGTGTCATTAACATACAGAAGATGGGACCCAGTTAACTGAACGCTTCAGTGTTCTGGCTGATTCAATCTCCTGTTTAGAAATTCATGAGGTTGACAAGCTAGAACTTGCAGTGCAAATCCATCACAAAAGGATTGCTGCATAGGGAGAAACTTGGCACAGTTTATCCATCAGGGTGTCAGATAGTGACAATGTGAAATGAAGAGGTTTTCCCTTTCTTTGTAGCAGAGGAGTACTGATGTGTGTTTAGTCTGGATGTCTGTTTGAGGACAGGTTGTGGAATGTGGTCACTTTCTGTGTAAACCTGTGCAAAATGTTCCTGGTTCCCTTCTTAGAAGAATATACTGAGGCTGCATGGTAAATGTTGTAATAGTTTCCTGTTGCTGTGCTCTTCTAGATCCTGATAGTACATTGTTGGAATACGTTGTTCCAGTGATCTGGTGTCTAGGATTGCTGCATTGCATAAAAAGCTAAATAATATCTTTAATGCTTAGAGCGCATTCTGATGCCTCTCAACTGTTTTTGTGGTTTTAGTGGGGTTTTTAAGCTGTGGGACATTGTTACACTACTGTTACCAATGCCAGTGTAAACTAGACCAGAATTGTTCAGGACTTAAGGAGGTTATATCTTGTCATGTGCATGTGAAACTTGGATGTCCCTAATTCTAGGGTTTCTCTCCAATTCGCAGGATGAAAATCTTCTCCCTAGAAAATATTTTGAAGTGGATTTTCCAATGATAGTTGCAAGAAAAATACATCACATCAAGTAAGTATGGTGTAAGCCTGAATTTAGCTGTGTGAAACCGAGTGTCATTCAGCAAAATGCCAGGAGTGGCAAGCTACAATTAATTACTTCAGCTCTCTTCTGGGAAACTCATTTTAGAATGGAGGTTTCATTATACAGGCAAGTCATACGTGTGGCTCTGCATCCACTGTTCCCCACTGTAGAAGCTGATATGTGGAAGCTTTAGGGAGGCAAGTAGGCATTACTCTTAATTATGTAAAATAGAATGGGCAGGGGAAGCCTCACAATGATTAGAGGCCATTAATTCATCTTCTCTTACTGTTGGCGACAGTAGTAAATTCCCAGACCTGATGTTCAGTTAGAGAGGTGGGATAGCTGATGTGATACAGGCATATTCTGTTTGAACTAATACATGAGGGCTTATGGAGGATGCTTGGAGAGAGTGTCAGGAATCCTCTTGATAGGTTGCCTCAGAACTTGAGTCATTGGTTCTAAAACTCAACTGCAACTTAGTAGTAAGTCGAACTTGCAGACGTTTGTGTTTCCAGTAGAGGGCAGAGGTATCTCTTGTCTGTTTTTAACACACACACACACACACACACACACGCATTTATATGTTAAAAAAATCAAATTGTATTCACACTGTTAAACCAGCTTAACTGCTCAGAGATGCTTCTTCCTTCTTCCCACAGATCAAAACCTCCCCTGTCAAAACCAATTATGGAATCCCATTCAGGGGACTCTCTTCTAATAGGTGAGTCATCCTAAAAAGAAGTCTGCAGTGTTCTGCAGCACTTTTAAAACTTTTCTGATCATTTTGTTCTGCTATGTGGGCAGGCTTTTAATGTTTGAAATGTGTTTGGACAGAGAATTGGGAGGGAAGAGAAGCTTCTTTCTTCTCTTACAGACTCTTGCCCATTTGTTCTGTGACATATTAGAGATGTCTTCTCTTGAAGGGGTTTTAGTCTGCCAGAAAGTTGTTGGGGTTTTTTCTCTCTTCTATATAGCTTAAGTTAGGTTTTCTTTTCTGCCACAGAAAAAGGAAAGTGCTACTGATAGTCATGTGTACTGGATTAAAATATCTATGGAGTGTTTTCTTCTCTCTTCTGTCTCATTAAGAGCACAAGTCTTTAAATTTAGCAGTCTTCACAGAAGAAAGAGCCTGCAGAGTCCATCCTCAGGAACCAGAGCCACCTGTTTCATTTTAGTAGTAAGAGGACATTGTGGAGTATGCTTGACCTATCTTGGCTTTAGCCTCATTGTGTTTGAGCCAGGACTGTAACTTGAAAACATCTTTACTTGTGGAAGAAATCCTGGGTTCTGTTGAGTAATGTTTTTAGTGCAGTATCTGCTATTTGGGCACTGTAGTAGCTGCTTTGGACCCTTTAGGAGGAACTGTGATTATCTGTGTCTACCATACCAATTAACTTGTGTTAGCAGATGTGACCTTAAAGCAGAGCCAGCAATGTTTTGTGTCCTGATATGATCACATGTATAGGTGCTTTTAATAAGCATGATTCTAGCTCAGGGTCTGGGGGGCTTGAAAGAGCCTTCCAAAGAGTGAGGAAGAGTGCAAAGAGTGAGGAGGTGCTTCTGGGGGCAAGGTGTAGGTGCTTCACCCCACAGCTCTTTGTGCTTTAACTTGGATCGGAGTACTGCCACGCACTGACTTGTTTGTGCATTTTAATGCAAATTATGCACATTTTATTGCTTCATATTAGAGGCTCTTAACCTACCAACCTTTTAGATGTCATCTGAGTGGCAGAATTCTCATCATGCATTCAGGTCTCAAAAGATGAAAGCCCTGTGCCCCATCTCATTAAAACTGCTCTTAAGAACCACTGTGTTTCAGCCGGGAAACCTTCTTATGACATGTCTCTTATATACAATGAGATCTGCTCTGCTAGCACTGTTAAAAACACATCACTACAAGGTCGATCAGAAGGGTTTGATAGTATTTGTGCTGCTGAACAGCTGTAGATACGTGTAGTACAGCAAAACAACTGCCAAGTTATCAAGTTGCAGTGGTGTGTTGTAATCAGAAGCTATTAATAGCAAGTTGCAGCAGCCAACAGCAATTGACATATCAGTGGCTTATTTTTCTAAAGCTGTTTCTCTTGTTCTTTCTCAGTGCTGGGTTTTAAGTACCCTAGGGTAGCAATTTTACAGTAAGCAGGCTGATGTAGGCTTTACTACACTGAGATCTTTGGGATGTAACATCTTGTCAGATAACTTGGAGCTGGTGGGAGTGTGTTGTGGAATCCCAGTTTGAAGTGGCACTCAACAACCACAGGTCAGTTCAAGTGAAATCCATGTGGGAACTATCTTGTAAGGGCATATTAATGGAACTGCTTCATATGGAAGTGCCACAAGAAGAGGCTGTGGAATAAGTAGATAAATAGTCAGATGAATAGAGATTTCTTACATATCTAAAGGAACTTGACTATGGATTCACTCAGCTACTAACTGGTATATACCTTCTTGTTTTAAAACTTAGGACCTGAGAACTGGAAGGTTGTGGCTGTGGCTCAGATGGGCTGCAGGAGAAATCTAGGGAACTCCAAGCCAGTAGGACTGATATCTCTACTGGACAAATGAGTAGAAACTCTAACAGACAGACTTAGTGGAGCACAGGAGTAATATAATGTGTTGAGAACGAGCCCACGTGGCTTTTGACAAGGTAAGTTATGCCTCACAAACCTATTGGAGTTCTCCGAGAGTCAACAGATATATTGGGGAAGGACATCCAATTAATCAGTGCTTGAATTTAAGAAATGTGTTTTGGCAGCATCACTTACCAAAGTGTGCCAAAGAAGTTGCATGGTTTTTGCAGGGGGAAGGAATGGTTCTCATATGGATAAAGAGCTGGGGATGGAGGTTAGGCATATGCTGTTAATTCTCATTATGGAGGGAGATGGAGATCTGTGCTTAAGGATATGTTGTTGTTCAACACCAAGAAATAATTAGGAAAGTGGAGTGATCAGTGAGTGGCAGCTCGTTGGCAAGTCCCAACTCTTCAGAGTGGTGAAGAACTGTGGAAGAATCCTGTTTTTTAGTGAGTTGGTGATAAATTCCATGTGGATTAATATCAAGTGATGCACATGGGTGGAAAAAATAGTTGGTGCCTCACATGTAAATGAGACTGTCAATGCTGGATGAATGTTGCTGCCCCCATACAAGATCTGGGTATTGGAATAAATAGATAGGTGAAAACAGTGGCTCAGTAATGGGACAGAAATCCAGATCCAAATGTAAGGATTCTAAGAAAAAAGATAGGAAACAGCATAGACCCCAGGATTAGCAGCACATGTTTGTGCTCTGTCTTTTCCCTAGGTAGCTGCTGTTGGCATCTGGGAGAGGCAGGATGCCAAAGTAGGGGGACCTTTGGTCTGACCTGATACAGCTCTTAGACTAATGCAGTGTCCTGGGAATGCCTCCTGTCTTAGGAAGCGTAGTGGGGCATAAGGAAGCAGCATTTCCAGGTAGGGGAACGTTCCTTATTTCTGTTGGTTTGGACGTGAGATTGTCCTGGCCTCTCCCTCTGCCAAATCAGTTCACAGAATTATCGAATGGTTTGGGTTGGAAGGCACCTTAAAGCTCATCCAGTTCCAACCCCTGCCACGAGCAGGGATTTCTTCCACTAGAGCAGGTTGCTCCAAGCCTGTCCAGCCTGGCCTTGAACACTGCAAGGGATGGTTCCACATTGCTCTCTTGTGTATCAGGAATAATTTGCTTAGATGCTTTGGGATTTGAGTTTTAGTATCGATGGATATCACTCTTTGTTCTCGTCCTGCTTTTCTTCTCACACTAAATGTTTTCATTTCATGAGGCTAGTGCTAATAGACACCTTCATCAGCTTCAGGACAACATCTGCTTCCTCCTTGCCCTTTACCCAAAGCAGTGACAGCATGGCTTGCAATTCAAGGGTGGGTATCTGTGGCCTCTGCCCTTGAATGCAAGAAAATGACACTTGTCATTGAACAGCTTTGGCATTTTCTAGGAAGTGTGAGGTCTCCAAGGGAGAGCAGGGAATCTGTGCAGTGATTTGACATGGCTGTGGCTATATCAGGTTAAATAGTTTTCAAAGTTCAACGGCACTATCTGGTTTATGGTGCAGTCACTGCTGGGAATGTAGCACTCCACCTCTGCTACCTTGCAGGTGCTAATTATGCTTTAATGAGCTATTACCTTTCAGTGCCATTCAGTGCTTCCTGCCCCATCTAGTCCAGTTGGTTGGTTGAACTTCCTTTTCACAACATTTCCAAGCTTGCCTGTGACAGTGCCCAGGGGTGTTGGCAACTGGCCTTGGGGATGATCCTGCATGTGCAATACAAGCTAAATGCCTTTGTGTTTTGACACGTACCCTGTTCTGATATTGTAGTTAAACAACCTGAGTAAGACTTTATCGTGGCTGTGAGTTGCAGAATAGGTTGTATGGGCTGGTTGCTTGTAAGGCTGCTAAAGATACCTTAGGATGAAAATCCTAATGAAATCGGTTTGAGTCAATAGCATCCTGCATGCTGTCTCTTGGAAAAGCTCCAGGAAATTGTTTCACTGGATTCTTGTAGCAGAGGAAACACTGCTTCCTGCTCCTGTGATGGGTTATGTAGTGCTGCTTCAGCAGGTGTGTTAAGGTAGCAGGTGAGTGACTCAGGGCCGCTGTAAATCAACATTTACTGGCATGTTTTTGTGGAGAAAAACTTTATTGCAGGCAGGTCAGAAGGCAACTATAAATAACTGCTGCTACTCTTCAGTTACCAAAATGATGTCTAAATTTGGAACACTTGTATTGTTATTTCTATGCCAAGAGTCATGGAAAACACTCATCCAGGTGGTATGAGCAGAGCAAAACCTTCTCTGCTGCGTTTCGCACAGATAACAGGAGCGTGCACCTCAGCTGAGAGTCTCTGTTGAGCAGAGGGGGTGGGCTGAAGCAGTGGGGCTCATTTGCTTGCTCTCTTTCACTGGTAGAACCCCAGCCTGGTTTGGGTTGGAAGGGACCTTAAAGCCCATCCAGTTCCAACCCCCTGCCACAGGCAGGGACACCTTCCACTAGAGCAGCTTGCTCCAAGCTCCCTTGAACACTGCTAGGGATGGGGCAGCCACAGCTTCTCGGGGCAGCCTCTTCTCCCCTCCCTTGTATTTCTTAAATGAAATTGGAATCTGGTATTTCTCAAACCCTCATTTCAGACAAGTACAAGGGAGAAACTTTGCACATAGCTGAACGTGCTGAGTGTGAGCATCACAGAACCATAAGGTAGCTCCATGCTTTAGAAAAGAGCATCATGACTAACTTTGCTAAAAACCAACATGAAGTATTGGCGCCTGGGTTGGAATTAGTGCTTTGAATGTGGGCTATTCAATGGATTAAGCCACGAAATGTTGCTTGTATCCCAGTGTTAGGGCAGTTGGCCCGAGTCACACCACGGTGGCCTTGACGTACATGTTAGTGCAGCATGGGAGGGTCTCCATCCCAGCCAGGAGGTAAGGCAGCAGCGCTCCTGGCAGCACAGATCTGCTGGAGTGTGCAGGGCTCTCCTCTCTGCCGAGGTCCCTGTGGCAGATACCTTCAGAGGGGTGAGACTGCAGTGAGAAAAACAGGTAAGGTTTTAACAGCAGAGGAATTGATTCAGTTAAAAGAAACTTCTTGTTCATAAGAAGAAATCAATGGAGACCACGTGCCTGTGTTACCAGGCCAAAACTTGCTTTCTCCCTCCAGCTGCTCTTTAGGGACAGGTATTGTAGAACACACTTGTACCAGCGCTGCTCAGTCAGGGTGGCAGCATGTTTTCAATGTTTCATTCCTAGAGCATCAAGCTCTGCAATAAAGTAGAAATTGGTGCCATATCGTGTGCCAGTACATCATTTTCTGAGATGTTTATGGCTGTACTTCGACTTTCAGCCTCCAGGCTGGGAGCAACAGCAACTCCAGCTCTCAGCAGTCTTGCAATGAATGGCTGCTATTGAGTGTGAAGTGATGGAGCTGTTGTCTTTTAAAAGACTTTTAAAATCTTCAAGTTATTTGTCTAGTTAGGTGTCATCTCTTTGACTTTAGCTATAAAAGGGTATTTTTAATGCCATGTGCAGGCTAAAGGTGGAAGCTAGCAGGAAATCTTACAAGGAAGTTTGGAGGAGGCTTAGCTTAAACTCTTTGCTCTTGCTTTTTGTCCTTGCGCCTCTCCTTGCTTTTTAAAATTGACTAGTGTAAATTCCGTATTTTCCCCTCACATTTCCTTCAAGAGAAAAGTGTGGATTATAAATGTTAAAATCTACGAATTCTGGAAGTATTAAATGAGGTGCTTTCAGAGATGTGTAAAGTGTACAATTTTTAGCAATTGTATCAGCTTGTGTGTACTGCGTGTGCTGCTCTGCCTCAGTACTATCTGTGCTCGTGTTTGCCAACAACCATCAATGGAGAGTCGAGGGAAGCTGGCAGCAAAATGTGTGGAGGAACAAGTACATTCTGTTTGAATGGACCAGAGGAGGGGAACCAGGCAGCCGGATACTGGGAATGGGAGTGAAGTGATTGTATTTGGAGTGAAAGGCTTCTGAAGAGAGGAGACAATCTGTTCCTCGTCAGCTTTCTTGGCCTTTCAGCTGCAGGAACTCCTGTGTTAAGGCATGAATATATTTGGCTTTAAGGCTTGAAGACTATTTCCACTGAACCAAATCATCCTTAAGGAAACCTGTTCCACTCTGGTATTGGGTTGGTTTCTCCCCAGTAGTTAACTTTGAATAACCAGGCTATGGCTGCATGGCTGCTTATGTTCACTTGTCTACAACCTCCATCTCCAGCTGTCTATCTACTGGGCTGCACAGCTTGGTGCTGAGGATCTCCAGGTTGCTTCCTTTGGCTGTCCCCTCTCCCACCACGTCAGAGCATAACAGAAGTTCTGTGGCTTGTTCATGTATCACAGGCTTATTGAAACCAATGGTAGGAATGGTGATTGCTTTTGGAGAGTGGTTTTCTAACCTGCTCCTTCCTGTTCTTCAGTGATAAAAATGCTTGAATCAACGTGGTGCGAGCAGGAGACATTCAGTTCTACTGCTGAAGTGTCTGTACTACTGCTGTTACTGGATCACTTAAAACCTGTTGTTTATTTCTGGTTATAATGAATGTGTTTGTGTGGCCAGGTCAGTGAAGCTGGACAAGAAGATTGCATTCATTTCATGCTAATCGTGGTGCTGATGCTCACCGTGTGCTCTCTCTGGACACCGAACCAACCACTATATAAATACTTTCCAGTGTGTGGTGAAGGGTTCTTGTGTGGCTTTTTTTTGATGCCATTATCATGGCCTTGATGTAATAACTGAAATAGAAGGGAGTGGGAAGTAGTAAAGCTATTACAGAACATGCACATGGAAAAAAGCCTTGACTCAAAATGTTGAATCATTTGCCGCACAACTTTTTTCCCTTTTTCTCTTTTTTTTTTTTTCCTCCTGTAACTCTCTATGAACAGTTCTGGTTCCCCTCTCTGGTCAAAAACGTTGCTGGAAAGATGCTGTTGTCACTTCCTAGTGCTGTTTTCAGTTGGTCACTTGAAAACTAAATGGAGATGCATCTCCCCCACTTTGAAGCACTGCTTCAGTTAAGAAGTTGCCTTTTCCCCTCCACCCCTAATGTTTTCTTTCCTCTTTTGTTTCCTCTCCTGCAATGGAAACCCTTTCATTCTGCCTCCTCAGCCTCTTGGCTTCTCTGGGTCTCTTCATGTAGCTCTTGTCACCTGCTCCTGTGTTACCATTCAGGAGCTGTGTTTGGCTGCAGCTGATCCCAAGCCTGCCACTGCAGGCATATATGGATTTGCCACTTCAAACTCTCACCGTGGGGTTTTTCAGTGCTTAGCTTATTTTATCTCTTGCTCTGTTACCCTTGTATGGTAAGAGAGGAAGCTTTGTGCTATTTTGTCCTAATGGCTTCACTCTAGTAAAGTTGAAGCATGAAAGAACAATGATCTATTCCTGCAGAACTTTGTTTTTAAGTGGGTTTGATGCTGCACGTGCAAAGTGCTTTTGTATGGGGGCTGGGCTCATCGACTGCAATGCATTGCAACTGGTTGTCAGAATTATTGATGGCAAGATGCTCGTGTTGCTGCTGGCTTCCTTCCAGTTCTTCTAGGATGGCAAAGCATCTTTTGACTTTAGTGTTAGTTCCTCCTCCATGTTGGAAAGCATTTGCAGGAGCTTGCTGCCTGTTGTAGCCCAAGGTGAATATTTGTTTCTCAGAATACCTTTTCTAACTGGACTCCCCACTAAATACCATTGCTAGAGCATACAAAAAAGCTAAATGGTAACTTCTTTTGGCACCAAAATCTGTCTAATACTCGTATATATCTGTCTGTATCATTAACTGATATAGCTGTGTCTATTGTTTGGAACATTGTTACTCTTGCTTAGTTTTTCAGGAATTTATATACTTTTTTAAATGTAGTTCCTCATGTACATACACTGGGTCATTTAAAAAGACTTTACAATCAAAACAACTCCCCACACCTTTAATCTTCACATTTTTCTTCTCTCTGCATTCCTTGAAACCATGGTAACGGGTGGGATAACCCATCTGCATTAGAGTGGCTGCCGAGTGAAGGAGGAGGCTTGTGGCAGAGTCTGATGCTGATATATCACCATCTGTAAACCACAGCAGGCAGGTAGAAGGGCAGTTAGTGTTCTAGAAAGAAGGGTTTGCTGTTGATGCTGGGTATGACAGATCAAACCTTCACTTCAGATTCATGTGTTCCTGTGTAATTCTTAGTTGCTAATTTCACTTTCCTTCCTGTTTGTAACCTTTAGTCTTTCAACACTTTCAACTTGCAGACTCTCACAGCCTGGACTCCAGTCGATATTCCATACAAGGAGCAGACCTCCGTTTCTCATCAGAGCTGGAGGAAAAGCTAAAGAAGCATAACCTGGATGTACAGTAAGGTTATCTTCACTTTCGGGGGGTTTATGAGGGCTCATGGAAAGTACTCATGAAGCGAGTCAAGTCAGGCTTGGGCATGCAGTAGCTGCATCCAGTGCTCATTATGCCATTTCCATGGTTACCTTTTCCTGAGCCCCTGGAGCAGTAGGAATTGTGCAGACACCTCCTGGAGCCTGCTGGCACTGCCGGGACTGTTCCAGAGCTCCACGGCTGAAGCAGGGTTGTTCCTTGTATAGCCTGTTCTGCAAACTGCATTTTCTTCCTTCCTGGGAAGATCAAACATTGCAGAGCTGTTTGCTCCTTGTTCTTAAAGCACTGTGGGGAGTGAAGCATGGCTTCTGTGAATGAGCTCCTTGTAGCTGGTTCTCTTTGGGGTCTGTGATCCTTTCGCATGAGTTCAAGCTCTTGTTGAAGAGCAGGAAGCTGTGATTCCTTCTTGCTTTCCCCATCCCTTGCCCTGAAGGGGATGAGTTCCCTCAACAGCCATTTTCTGCCTCAGAGCTCACATGAGTTGTCTTTCTCTACTTCATGAATCAACTCTTTTAGAAATCTCTCAAAGAGTTACCCCTTGCTTGAATTAGGTTGAAATTTAGTCAATAGAATTGCAAGTTATTCAAGGGGAATCTCTAACTAGAAATGTATCCAAATGTCATAAATTGCCTTTTGAAAGAGTTGGTTCAGTTGCATTTAGTTTCATCGCTGAGTGATGGGCAGTACCTAAAGCAGCGAGCATGTTCCACCCCATGAGCTGTATGAGTCAAGATTTCTGGGAGCTCAGCTGCTAAAATGAAGAATAATTCTGTCAGTCTTCAATTATTTCAGAGTTTTATCTTTGTAATTATTTTCTGTTGCCTCCACTTAACCCCCCTGTTGTTCCCTCCACCTTTGACAAGTGATTGCCATGGTGTCTTTTGAGAATTGAACTCCAGAAGCTAATACCTGGGGGTTTATTGTTCAGGCATTAGGTTTCTGGAAGGGGCAAGATTTAAGTTTTTAGAGTGGATGATGGACATACCTTTCAAATATAAGATATATAAATAGCAGCTATCTGGCTGGGTGGGAGAGAGCATATGGGCAAGCAGAATGCATCAAATTGCCATTTAAATCTTTACACTTCCATCCTCTGAAATCTTGCCTTGCTTGCCTACATTGCTGCTCCTTGTGGGATTTCTCCTGCTTCTAGTGACTTTTTTTTTCCTGTTCATTCTAGCAATTAAAAGAAAACTCCATAATTCTGAGCAAAACTACTCGTATAGATGTCTATTTTTCTTTCTCTGTGGATGGAGGGGGAAGAGGCAATGTGCAAACTGTAGATTGCATTTTGCTAGATAATAAAGTGGAGCTTATTTTGCAGATACTGAACACTTTTGTCTAATTAAAATTCTTCATGGAACTTCTTTCAAGAGAAAACTTTTTCCATTTTTATTCCTAATTTAACTGATCCCTGAAAGAGAGCACATCGTGTATACAGGGAACAGTTCTTCTGCAGCATGACTTTCAATATGCACTTCAGTTCATGCGCACAGCTCAGAGAAGACTTGGAGAATACATGTTCCTCAGTAGTGTGGCTGACTATGGGGAAATTGTTTCCCAAAGTCTCTGTGTTGTAACCCCAGGAGTTCGCTGTGGTTAATTCATTGCCTGACAGAAAACCCAGTTCTGGTCAATTGAAGTGATTTTATTCAGTCTTAAATGTGTAGTTCATAAAAAGGGTAGTTCTTTTAAGCGATTTTGGGAACATAAAATTACTTTGCTTATAATTCTTTATAGATTTTACTTGTTCTTTTGCTAGAAATAGTTCTCCTGTGTTTTGTTTCCAAGTTTGCCAACGCTGCTGGTAGCAGAGTGTGTGCTGGTTTACATGACCCCACAGCAGTCTGCGAGCCTCCTGAAGTGGGCAGCCAGCACCTTCCCAGTGGCGATGTTCATCAACTATGAGCAGGTAAAACAAAACTGGCACTTTTAGACCTGAGTTATTGTCATCAAGAGTGGGAGTTCTGTGTGTGAAACAAGAGTGGGCCATGTCCTTTTGTAGAGAGAGCAGTTTCTGCTGTCATGTGTTTTACCTTGGAGATGGGGAAGCTCATTGTATGCAATATAGAGCTATTCTGAAAGACAATTTCTGGATTATGTTGAGCCGAAGTAGTTGAGACTTAATCCATATGTGGAAAAAACCACAGAATATTGGTTTAACTAAGACAGAGGAAGAAGAAATGGTGCTGAATGTCGGATGTGAGTATGTAACATTACATAATTGCCTCTCCGTGTTCTTTGCCAAAGGGGAGCAAAAATCACATCAGCGTGAACTCAGCTTCTCTCTATGGAAGTAAATGCTGCTTGGGGGGAAGTAGGTGGCTCCAGGAATTAGAAACAGGATCTTCCAAGCTGTAAATCACTGCTGGAGAGCTGAACCAAGTTGTCAGCAACTTGAAGCAGAGTCAGTTTTCAGTGCCCAAGTCCCAGTGGCAGCATTGTCGCCAATTAAACTAGCACTCAACTTGTAAACCTGAGGTAGCTGAGGAGATTGTGGCAGTGGGAAATGAGACCTGGTGTAAGAACACGAAGCTTACTTTAATGTTATCCTGTACATTTTGTGACGTGGACAATTCAAGAGTTTAACCAAGTTACTGCTTTTCACTGGGATTACATTCTTTTCGGAAGGGGGAACACTTTTGTCTCCTTCTCTACCTGAGGTGAACATGACAGACCGGTTTGGACAGATCATGATTGAGAACCTGCAGAGACGACAGTGTAACCTGGCTGGGGTGGAGGTCTGCAAGTCCTTAGACTCTCAGGTAAAAGGGGCACAGAGCTTTGTGTGTGTTTGATATCAAACTTAACCTGTCTGCAACTTCTTCCTCTGTGTGTGCAGAGGCTCAGAGCAATGGCCAAAGCAGGGTTGGTGGAGCAGCTGCTACCTGCTGAAATCCTTTCCCATCCCCCTTACACGGTTCCCTGTAATCAGTGCCATGGTTTCCTGTTATCACTTTGTTTGATAACTGTACAAGAACTGCAGTAGATCACAACACAGCTCCATCTATCCCACTGTCCTCTCTGCACAGAGGTTAACAGCACATGCTTAGAAAAGAGTGTAAGAGCTCTTCAAAAAACAGGTCAGGCAGACGGCATAGAAAATCCTTAGGGAAAAAACTGTTCTCTGGCATTTTTCCTTGAGTTGTCTGAAAACTGTGCTGCTTGTTTACTTCACAGAGGGAACGATTGCTGCTAAATGGCTGGGAAACTGCACATGCCATTGATATGATGAAAGTGTACAGCTTTTTGCCACAGGCCGATGTCAAAAGGTATTACTGATAGCTTGCTTGCAGCCAAAAGTCATCTTCAGATGCCATTTCCAAGGTAGTTTCACATTGATATGTAGTACGGGATCCCCTGCTATAACGGAGTGGAGGCTCTGTGCAGATGCTAAGTAGACAACATATCTGAGTGGAGCTCTGCAGAGCCTGAAGGCTAATGCCTGGAGCAGCATTAATGATCCAGGGGGTTATTGCTGCCAGGAGTAGACTGGCAGTGCTCATGATTTATTTGGGTGTGATCTAAAGCATCTTATGACAGCAGTTTGCAGCTAAAAGATACTACAGAAATGCTGTGTTTGTAAAGCACCTAAGGTGGTTCTTGTGGATATCCAGCCTCCACAACACTAGATGCGTGCAGTGGAGTCCTAAAATAGACTCGGAACAGGCAGCCACTTTTCATGTCCCCAAGGGAGATGACATCCAGGTCTTTGCTCCAGGCCTGGGTGAGACTACTTATCTGTTTGCATTTTCACTACGAGTGGAAAATGGCCAGGCCTGATCTTCCCTCCCTTCTTTCTTGGCAGCATATTTAGGTAATGAGCCAAGGCAGGGCAGTAATGTAGAGCTGTGACCTGGTTTACTGTGCAGGCAAAGAGGGAGAGGGAGGAGAAGTGTGCCCAACAGCGTGGTGTGATTATTTCTCAACAGATGGATGCATCTTCCATTCATACCATCTTCAGGAGCTAGGCTGCTGGGTCTGCAGACAGAGCTTAGTACACAGAGGGTATAACCAAAGGCTGTTGTAACATTAATCTCCATGGATTTTACAAAGTTTTTTGCATTAAAGAAAAGCTAAAGAGGGGGAAACTGCTTTTATTGGGTGACTTCTGAGCTATAGAATGTGAAGTGTGAATTACTCGGTCATTCATTAACTATAGCTGGAATTAGCCAAACCAGTTACCTTGGTCAGAATAAGTGTTCACATATGGGGATTTCTCAAAGCGGGGAACTGAACAGGTGAGACTGGAAGTCATAGGTTGTTTAAATGGGAACACTGGCTGTGTGACTGCACCATGTGGCACTTGTGGAGAGGCATAACTTGTGCTGTTTTCTTGCAGCATTTTTGCCTACCTTAGATCTGTTCAGCTCCTTCCTCTTGTTCCAGGTGCTGAGAGATAGGTTACGTAAACTCTGTCCCTTGGTATTAATGAGGCACATAATGCTTTCTGTTTATGGAAGTGTTCACAGAGGCGGCCTTCTGCAGCATGTGCACATCTGTAAAGAACTTTTGCCCCACTTTACCTCCCCAGTAGCAGCCCTTCCAAGTATTTAGCATGGGAATTAAGCACTCTGGTATTCAAGTAGAGAGAAAGAGAGGAATGTGCCAGGTTAAACTTTTTAAAGCAAGCACAGCTTGGGAGAAGTTCTCCCATTTGTTTGGTGGAAGACATTCAAAGATCTTGCTTTAAGAAGCCTAGGCAGGAGCCATTTTAGGAAAACAAATCCTCAGATCTTGTATATGCCATTTGGTTTGTGCTTCATCATGAGCTCATGTGGGAGAGTTGTTAGAACGGCACTGGTGTACCCATCACTCTTCCAAGACATAATATGGACTTGTTATTGTCTGGAGAAAATGCCATCTTCAACTGTTCACTGTAATCCTTTGGTAAAGATAAATCTCCTTCCATTACGATGTACTAGTGTGTCTGCTTACATCCAGCAAGATCAGGTACATGCAGTAAAAGGGGTTAGCAGACAAGTGCTGGGGTTTGTGAGAAGTTACACATATTAGTCCCCAGACGTGAATTTCCAGGGCTGAGAAGTTGGAAACATCTTGTGGGTTGCTTGTTTCATTCATTGACAACAAAGGCAAGGAGTAGTGGTATCTTCACTGTGGACAAATACCTGTATTAATTTACTAGAGGGGTAACTGCCTATTTACCCTGGTTTTCACATGAAAGAATACATTAAAAACTGTACCGAGGCTCCAGCTGGCATCACAACTTGTATTTTATTCCTACAGGATAGAAGGACTTGAATTCCTAGATGAAAAGGAGCTGTTTGAACAACTAATGCAGCACTACTGCATCTGCTGGGCTTCAAAGGACAGCAGCAATCTGGGTAATGTTCTTCAATGCCTAGTAGGTGACCCTTCACACTGAGATCTGATGTGGGAAGGCTGGGACTATGCACACCAGATGTGTGACAGAAGCGCCCCATCACAGGAGCGGGGTCTGCTGCTGTGTCACTGGGGCTGTGAACACCTCCCAAGGGGTGTCTCGTGGCTGTTTCTCCACAGCCTTTTGAGGGTTTGTGTAAGGCATCTGAGTTGCCCAGCAGGAAGCCCATGCAGTAGAGGGGAGTTAGAATCCTCACACTGAAAGATGCCGTATGGGTTACCATAAATAACTGCCTGCTTTATACTATCAGTGCTAATTGAGAGGTTTACAAATCCCAGGCATGTAAAGCACCATATGGGCACACAGTATATGAAATCATGGTGTCCTGACAACGTAAAAATAAATCTGCATTCCTTAGCCCAGTCTTCTTCTGCACTGGCCCCATTTACATCCACTTGGGACTTCAGGTTTTCTGTGCTCCTTTCACCTGGGGGAGAAAATTCCCTCGAGATCATGGTTCAGGCAAAGGATGGGTGTCTCCAGCCCTTCTTTGTCCAAATAAGAAAGACAACTCTGTTGCAGGCTCAGTTTTAGCTTTATTTCTGTCTGCAATTTCAGGGACTTTAGGCTTTCTAGAAAAATTCTCTGCCCACCATTTTATCCCTTCCTCTTCTCCTTCTCTGCCCTTCCCTTGCTCCTGACAGAGCAATATTCAGGAACAAATTCTATTGTGTGCTCCTGAGCAAATGGGATAGATGTAATTGGCTGAAGCTGTGCAGCGGCAAAGCGTCTGATACAGCTGGTAAAACTAGATCTTCAATAGCCTGCTGTAATCGAGATGTGAGCTTGTGGTCTCTGCCTGCCTGAATCCACAGCTTTGATAGTGTTGAGCCGCAGAAATGGGGTTTCGTTTGATTTCTTACAGCTAAAAGGTGATGCCTGTAATACAGAACTAGAGGAGCTAAGGCCAAAATGTTCCCCAGCTCATAGCAGCCAGTATTTCTGGGAACTCCAGCATTATTCTTTGCTGTGATGAGAGGAATGTTTAGGACAATTTGGGGTATTGAGGTTGTGTTACAGTGTACCTTAGAAGTCAGAAAAGACAGATCTCAAAGGAGGTAATCACATGTCTAATGCATGGCTGTGCCTTAATCTAAAGCGGCTTTCCTTTATCCAGTGTGAATTCACTGCCCTCTTTAATGGTACTTTCCCCAGCTTTCACTTTTTAAATGTCATGGGCAGACACTGTGGTGTTCCTTCTGTCACGAAGAGCTTCAGCACTCCTTCAGATTGGCTTGTTCACATTAATTGCTGCATCACAATCAGAAAAGGGCTAAAAAAGTACAGCTCAACCTGTTTCCTCCCCTCCCACCGATTCCTTCGTGTTTTAAGTTGAAAAAAAACCCAGAAATTCTCAAAGCATCCTTCTTCCCATGTCTCACTGGCCTAATAGTAGTGAAGTACCTGTAGGATAAGATTAAACACTTGTTTCTCCACACCCCCTTCTCAAACAGGTCTTGCAAACATCGCGTTCTGATGGGCTTGCTGAAGGGAAGCTGAGCCCAGAAGCCACAGTGACTGCCTTCTGCCTTCTGCTGGAGACAAGATCACAGAAATGATGGGACTTTGCATGTGCCAGCTTCCATCTGGCCTCTGTGCAAGCAGTGCCAGTGCAGGAGGTGATGGGTGCTGCAGGTGTCACTGCCCTGTTGGCTTTTGGGAGTTCTAATGGACTGTTGGCACCCATTGGGAGCAATTGTTACCAGGCAAGACTTTCCCCCCTTTCCCAGATACACAATGATGGACTTCCATAAGATGTCAGTAACTCCTGTTTAAAAGTTTGCCTTCCTTAGTTTAAAACTGGAAGTGAAGTGTTCTGGATGATACCATTTTCCTCTTTTTGTCTTCTTGTGGATGTGTAAAATGTATTTGTGACAGGAAGCTGGAAAGCGCACGCTGGTGAGCTGCGTTATTGGGTATCTCTGCACTGTGCATGGCTGATCATGAAAGTTAAATCCTGTTCATTCTCATTATGTGGAGGTTTCATTTTTATGCAGTGCCACCGTGTCAGCTTTCTCCAGGCTTTAGTGGTGCTGCAGGGCTCTCACTGTACTGGGTGTGTTCCTGTAGTTCGGAAAGAAGAAGGGGAGGTGTGGGTCTTGGTCAGTGATGTACAAGAAGCTGGGTGATGTGAAAGTAGGCTTTATTTAACTGGGAAGGGCTTAGCTTGGCAGTTCACACTGGGCTGGTGAAGGTAAGAAAGAGATGACTCTAAATTTGCACTGCTTCTGGTAGTATCTTTACACCAGTTTCTCATTCTTCTTTTCCCTTAAACAAAACAAAATCCCAACAGCAGTGAAAGACCTTTCCCTATTGTTTGAGATGGAATCTTGCAACCTTCCTATGAGAAAAACAATAAATGTTTAGTATTTATAATTTGCCCAGTGTCTTACTCATTGGAAATTACTTATTTGTATCTGCTTTAGTGACTGCCTTTTTTCCTCTTTCACCAAAAGCCTTGCCAAAAAGGGTATCTTTCTAAAGCAGTTGCAAGCATAAGCAACAATTTTCATGCTGTGTGTGACTTTCTGTGGTGTGGGAATACCTGGCTTTGGAAATAGTTGACGTGGGCTTGGACTGGAGATGTGGGAAGGGGATTACTGAGATACCAGGAAGTAATGAATTCTCAGAAGTGCCAGTGATAATTGCAGAGGAACAGAAGCAGTAAAAGGAAACAGCCTTCCCTGCACTGCCCTCCTCTCCATCACTGAGTTTAGTCACTGGCAGCTACAGGCCTCCTGCTGTCACCTTTGTATCAAGCTGGTTTCTTGAATGCCAGGGCTCAGAAATACAGTATTTGGTTGATGATCTGCTCGGTCTCTGCAGAGTGTTCACACAAGCTCTGTGTCCCCAAAGGGAAGGGATGGACTGTGCAGTTATGAAAGGAGCTTATAACCTTTGCTTCCTAGATAACAATATCAATGGTATGCTGATGCCTGCACGTTTGAGATGTTTGGGCTTACCTGCACCCCTCTTCCATGAAGAGGTGCGTGCAGGCTGTATCTGCAGTAGCGTTGAGCCTTTCTCTGTGCAGATGCAGGAGGCCAGGAGGGCAGGTTTCATTTTTACACCTTACCATCCAAGTGCCTTCCTGAGCACAGCATCTGTGACCAGGGACTGCAGGGGTTGCCTCTGGGTGCTTTCCCACGCAGTTGCCTGCTCCCTGGACTGGGAGCAGACAGGTTCTTGGAAGCAGGGGCAGTTATCCTGCTGCATTCAGTGGCCTGCAGCTTCTGGGTTTGCCTTCTGGTTTCACACTGTGCTTACATAAAACACAAGAGTGTTTGAATATTTCTCAGTCCCGCTGTGCAGCTGCTCTGCCCTGCTGCCTTTGATATTCTGCTCCTTGATCTCTGTCCACAAACAGCTCTGATCTGACTTGCTGGCATTGGCATCACCTCTGTTGGGTGCTGCATGAGCACTTATGGGACATGGTGTCCTGAAAAACCTCTTGATTTCAATTAGCATGCAGAAACTGTCTGAAATAGCTGAGTCAAAGGTGCTTAAATATGAAGATGAGAGAAACAAGACAATGTGTAATGTCACAGATGTGCTCATAGCCAAGTTTGACATGTTACTTGACAGTTAATCTCTCTGTTAGTAAGAACAAGGGATTAAAGAAACTGAAAACCCACCAACAAACCAGAAGCCCTGTAACACCCTCTGCACTGCAGGAGTCTAGTGCAGTGACTAATGCTTGTTCTGTGGCAGCAAGACTACCCTGCTGATTCCTTTTCAGTAAGATGAATACATTTGATTTAGTAGTGTTAAAGCCCATCTCTACTATCAGTTTAATTTTGGCAAAACCCCTCTTGGGCTTCTTTATGAGGGGGAGCTGTGGTCTTACCTGCTCGGGAACAAATCTGTTCCCTTTGAAGCAGCTGACATCTGAGATGCAACCTTTGAGCTGTTGAATTTGTCATATCAATGGGCCTTGAATGTGGCTCGCTGCAGGAGATGGTCCTGTGCTCTGTCAGTTGCTTTTGTTGTCATCTCTGTCATAGTTTAATCCTGTCTGTGTTGGGAAATGATGTCTCTGCCAGCATGAGGCAGATGCTGCTGGAATTGCTGCTCATCAATTTCTATTTTAGGTCCCTGTATAATTTGTTCGTCTGAGGGAAGCACTGAAGGATGTGGCACAGGAGCAGAGCCGGGGCTGTGGGATGGAAGGCACGATGGTGCCCTGTTTGCTCTTCCTCTAGATGAGTCTGTCTTGCATCCGTTCAGCTAAATGGATGAGCACCCACCTAGGAGATGGGGAACCATTCCTGCAAGAGCTCTTCAGGAGACTGGTGGCAGCAGTGGTGGAGGAAGTAGGTCACCTTGTGCTCCAGGGTTACACCAGGATGAAAGGGGTTTGTGGTCCCTGGCAGCCCGTGTGGGCAGTCTGGTTCCTGTGATTACACCAACTGAAATCAATCTTCGCCTCAATTCAGGGAGTGTTCGGGTCTGAGAGTGCCTGGTGCTGCTGAACAACGCTGCTTGGCTGCAAAGTAGAAGGCTGAGAGAGGTTTTCTAGCCAGGAGAGGTGGCCTTTGCCTGCTGCTTGCTGTGCTTTGTGTGACTGCGCTTGTCAGCCGCGGCTCCACTGAGCTGCATGGCAAATCTCTCTGCTGCAGGCAAATGCCTCTCCTCTTCCCAGCCCAAACTTTTGCCTGGTTTATTGGTACTGACAGTGCAGGAGAATTCATCCCTGCAATCCTTTGTTTAAAGGGGAAAAGGAAAGTCATTTAAGCTTGAATGAACTGTAAGATGGGAGGCATTGTTCCAGCTATGGAGCTCGAGCATTCCCTTTGCAACCTCCTGCCCCTCTGGCAGCATCTTCTGATGCTCCAAGGGTTTAGCCTGACCCTGCCTCCCGGTACCTGTGAGTAAGGGCACAGCACTGTCTGCTTTGCTACTGGTATATCCCATATTGGCCTTGCATCAAGCTCTGGTCTGTGTGTCACAGCCATACCTGTGCCATTCTGCTGCAGATCACTTGAAAGTACTTGAACAAGTTTCCTCTTTCCCACTGAATATAGTTTCTATGTCTGTACATACAGTAACAGCAGGAGATTTGATGTCATCCATGGAAAAAGTTCTCCTTCGAGTCTCCTGCAGCGCAGAGCCTGTGATGTTCCTCTCTGTTGCAAGTGAGTTGTGGAGCACCTAAAAAGTTCTATCTCCTTCCTGTCCTTCTGCTGCATTCTGACTGCAAGGTGGGAGATGGAGCTGGGGGCCAGGAAGGAAGGTCAACCAGGAAAGGTGGGTAACACGTCTGGTCATGCTTGCTGTCCATGAAGGAAGGTGCTGTTAGTCCTCTGCTTCTCCCCTTGCCTGCAGTTGTGAAGCATCTGCAGGATGAGGATGCCCAGTTGCCATGGCAAAGGGAGGGAGCCGAGCGTGGTCCTTGCCTGCCGTTGAGCTGCTGTCACAAACTGTTCTGTCAGGTACAAGAACATCCTCTGATCTGCTCCATGCTGAGCCCTGTGTGTTGGTCCTCGCTCTGTCCAAGCTTCAACCACAGTTCAGATGATTACACTTCATTGTGCCTGTGTTCCATCTACATTACCCGTGTCTGAGCATTGCCTGCTCAAAAGATGGATAAAACTAGTCCCCTTCTAGAAAATTCAATCATTTAGTTCCTTACAGGGATTATCTGGCTCTAGGACCTGACTGAAAAGCAGCTGCTGGTTTAGCACACACCATTTCAAGCTTCTCTGCAGCGTTACCAGTTCCTCATTTCATGCTTACAAAGGTTTTGAGGTCTGTGCTGCTGGGGTAAAGGGAAATGTGGATATTGAGGCAGGAAATGTTCCCTTGTTGTCAGCCTTATGGGATAGTCACAGGGAGCCAAGTGCGGGGTGGCTGGGAAGATGTGCACGTGTGTGAGCTGCCTGAGAGCGGGAGCATCCCTTCCTTTGAGAGCTTGCTGGCTTTTAACGTTAAGTGCCAAATTTAAGGTTTTGAGTGTGGCTTCATCCCGTATTTTCCCTTCTCGATCCCCAGAACTGCCCTGAGTCTGTCCCTGTTTTCCAGCAGACAATGGTAAGTGTGTGGAGAACCCTTGGAATTTTCCATCTGCACTGGAGCAGGATGGTAGCGATCGGAGGTGAAGTCATTCTGCAAGATAGGCTCTATAAGGGGGCAGAGGTCAGCTCACCCGTGGTACTGCTACGAGCTGCAAATACTTCTGCAGGTCCTCATTCAGCAACAGTTGTGTAATCCCTCGGGCTCTGGAGCTCCAAGGTAAACACTGGCAAGATAAGGCAGTGTCAAATGAGTTGCCTTTGCTTTTATGGCTTATTAAAAGAGCTGACCACGGATGCTGAGGTCTCTCCTCGAAGCAACCCCATTGTGCAGCACTGAAATCCTTTGTGATTGCTTGTATAGACCCCAGTGGGACCTCTGTCCTGTGAAATGTACCTGCACTGGGTCAGCAGAGAGTCCACATCTGCTCCAGTCCTGCACTTCAGTGTTCATAGATGTTAATGGCACCTGGAGATGCTCTTAAGTGTCTGAGTGCTTTTGGAGTTTGGGTGCTATGGTTCCTACGGAAAAGCAACTGTAGCGCCGCAGATCTGCAGGGTGAAGCAAGGAGAAACAGAATGAAATGCGTGGGGAGTGGGTGTTGGGTAAAACAGGGGTGTTGTGGCTTTCCCACCCAGGGAGATGGACATGGGAGCTGTTCCCTGCCGTTCCTAAGAGGGATTTCTCAGCGCTGTTGCTTGTTTTGTGCCACCGTTTCCTTTCCCAATTGACACAGTTGCTGTTGTCACTCATTTAACAAATCGGTGCAAGCACAAACAAGGACAAAAATAAGTGTCTGCTAATATGAGCAGATTTATCCCTGCTCATCCCCACGCCTTTCCCCCAGCGGAGTTTCTCTGCCGCTCACTGAGCAAACCTTAGTGCCAAGTATTTAATCTTATCCAGGAGGGGCAAAGGGTGCTGAGCGCAGGGTTGTTTGCTTTGCATGTTCGTGGTGCCTCTCAACAGGAGATGGGTGCTGGAGGAGCGCCTTCTCCAGGTGCCATAGGAGGAAGATGGAGCTTAAAATGGGTCTGTAGCAGTCCAGTATGGAACATGTGTTGTGCTTGAGAGCTGCAGGGTGGGAAAGCTGGGCTGGGTCAGCCTGGAGAAGAGAAGGCTCCTGAAGGGGAGACCTGAGAGCAGCTCCAGTGCCTGAAGGGGCTGCAGGAAAGCTGGAGAGGGGCTTTGTAAATGGGCACATAGGGACAGGCCAAGGGGAATGGCTTTAACCTGCCAGAGGGGAGACTGGGATGAGCTCTTAGGCAGAAGCTCTTCCCTGTGAGGGTGCTGAGGCGCTGGCACAGGGTGCCCAGAGAAGCTGTGGCTGCCCCATCCCTGGCAGTGTTCAAGGCCAGGTTGGACACAGGGGCTTGGAGCAAGCTGCTCCAGTGGAAGGGGTCCCTGCCCTGTGCTTGGTTATCCGTAATGAATTCCTTTGTTGCCTGAACACGGAGCATTTCCTATGGAAGTCTCAGGCAAACGTCCCTGCTCCGCAGACAATGACAGTAAATGTTTAAAAGCCAAGGACATGGGGGTAATCCTCACTTTTGGCTTGTGACCTTCTGAAGCTGTTGCTCTGCTTGGAGTCACCATGAGCAGCCTGAACAGCCGTGGTCCAGGCACAGTGGCATTGCCATCGGCCGCATTCATCACCATGTACGTGGCATCAGCATCTGGAAGCAGCTGTTCTCCTGCTGTTGGCCTGGCCAAGGAGGGGCAGAGCCATGGGCTGGCTCCCAGGGCACATCCCCATGCCCAGTGCTGCTGCCTGGTGACATGGGGCAGCTCAGCCCCCTCCTGGTGCCCTGACACGGTGCCAGCATCACTCCTCCAGCACTTTGAGAGCTGCGGGTAGGAAGCACCAGATGAAATGTGGAAATGTGTTACATTAATCTCTCATAATAAATACCCTGACAAACAAATGAAATCTGGATTCCTTTTGCCTGAATTAAAGTCCCTCTCAACGGAACCCCCGTCTGGTTGTGCTGCGGGACCCGGGGATGGATGGATTCGATGAACCCATTGGAAACTGGCTCCAGCTGACAGTGACTCAGGTATTTTCCTGTTCCATAGTTCCACATAAGGGGTTCAAAGAGGAGCCCCAAAGCCTCACCGACCCCTGCCTTCCCTCTCCATATTCCTGTGATTTCTATAACCTTTTGTCTATAGGAAGCAAGCACTCAGCAGGAGAAATGAGCTGACAGGGGCTCATTTAGAGGTGCCTGGATTCTCCATAGCTCCAGCCTGGTGTTTGTCCGCTGTGTGGCCAGCAACAGGCCTCCCTGGGACAGGCAAGTGGAAATTTCCTTCCAGTCCCCAGTGTCCTGTGAAAACACCATAAACCACCCGTGCTGTTCTTTACCCTTGCTTACGAGAGGGGAAAAACCATCTATAAACCCAATCCTTAATTACCCACCACAAACACCAGCCACTGCGGGTGATTGCTCAAGGTGAAGAGCTGCAGGGCTCATCCCCTGTGGGATGAGCTGTATCCTCTGCGCCACGGAGACCGTGTGTCTGTACCACCATGCCCATTGCCTGTGGTGGTGACTCCCAGCTCCACGGCCTCTGCTGTGGCTTGGATCTGGCTTTCGGGGCAGTGATCCCTTACTGGGTGCACTGGGGCTTTGGAAGGTTGTAAGTGTTTGGTCAACATCAGGTTTCAAAGGTGCTGGTGGGCCATAGCATCATGGCATGGTTTGGGTTGAAGGGACCTTAAAGCTCATTCAGCTCCAACCCCTGCCACAGGCAGGGACACCTTCCATGAGAGCAGCTTGCTCCAAGCCCCATCCAACCTGGTCTTGAACACTGCCAGCACCCAGATCCCTTGGCACTTTCACCAGCTCTCTTCAATTGAGAGTGAGAGGGATACAGGCACTTGAGGAGCTCTGGCAGGACCTGGGCTGAGGTTTAGGGTCACCAGCCTTCACTGTGGTTTGGGCTCCTTTGGTAACTTGAAGTGAATCAGGCACTTCACCTGCTCTCTGGGGTCTGTAGAAGGGGTTTGGTGATGGGTCTGTATGGGAATGATTTATTGCAGGAGTGGATTTTCCCTCCCCAGAGCTACATCAGCCATTTCTCACAGTGCTGCTGTCCCCATGGCACGTGCTGCCTCTTGGCATGGTAAAAGCCACCTGGTGAAGGCAGCCAGCAGGGCTTCACACAGGTCTCCCTGCTATGGGCAGCAATGGGGACAGAATCACATCCCAGCTCTTGGCAATGATAGAAAATACCCACAGGGAAAAAATAAACCCAGAACCTTGAAGCAAGGAGTTTTTATCAGGGCGGTGATAAAGAGCTTCATATTCCTGGGGGCTGGGCTATCGCCTTTTATTGCCCTTTTTTTTTTTTCCCTTCTCTTTAAGCAATACAAATCCAATCCATTTGTAGAGCCTCCCATCCACTACCTCTTCATACAGGTCAGGGGGAGCCTGCCAGCCTTGCAGTGGGACAAGTGCTCCTCGTCCCTGCACCAGGACCCATTGGAGACCTGAGCCTGCAGCTCCAGTCCCTCAAGCCTCTGCTCTGCAGCATCTCCTCACTGTGCCTGCGGGTCCGACTGCCCCCAGGGCTCTCCCTGCTCCATCCCAGGGCTCTCCACCCCATGGCCGCAGCTGGGTGCAGTCACCACCCGGTGAAGCTGGTGCTGGACATGGACACCAAGGCCAAGCCCCCGCAGCCGCACTGGTACGAGCGCCGGGTCCAGCCCTGCGTGGCCGAGCTGCTGGGCACCGTGCTCTTCGTCTGCATCGGCTGCCTCTCGTCGGTGGAGGACGCTGCGGGCACCGGGAGGCTGCAGCCGGCTCTGGCGCACGGGCTGGCCCTGGGGCTCAGCATCGCCGTCCTGGGAGACATCAGGTAGGAGCAGGCTGGTACCTGGGGCTGCGCGGTCCTTGCTGGTGGGCAGAGATGCTGCGTGCTGCCCCACTGCCCGTCGGATCCTCCCTGCCCATGTACTGGTGGCTGCAGCAACGCTGCGCTGCCATCGAGCCTCTCTGTTACTGGGTGGCTTTTTACACGTGCCAGGAGCAGCCCGGCAGCACTCTGAGGAATGGCAGGGGAGGGCAAACCCACTCCTTGCGATGAATCACAGGGTATGGCTGCCGGTAACACCTCGGGGCTGGGGGAGTTTGTTTGGCTTGTGATTGCCACCCTTTATTTTTAGCCCCTTTTAATAGAAACGGTCAAAGCTGAAGCATTCCTGTGGAAAGCTGAGAAATTTCCCTTTAAAAGGATGTCAGAGCAAAACGTTTTGACCCGAGCAGTCTATTCCCCTGTGTATTCACCAGCAGGAAACCTGGATTCCACTTACAAGTGGCTTCAGTACCTCAAAAGCAGTATTTAGATGAACCTGCTGGTTGAGCAATGTGCTGCTTGATGCTAAGATACAGATTTATCCTGAAGGAAGAAGCTGGAACAGCCCCTGTGGAGTTTCATTCCCTTCCCCTTGACTGGCTCGTGGATGGGGTGGTGGTTGGTGCTCTAGCCAGGGCTTTACCTGCAGCCAGGTCCTCCTCCAGCTCCCGGTATCCCGCCCATCCCTGGGGTGTTTGCAGCCAGAGCCCTGTCCAGCAGAGGCATTTCCAGCCTAACCAACCCCCCTTCCTGCTCTCCTATGATGGCTCTTTAATTACAGCTGAAGAATAAGATGTGATTATGGTTCCTAGACACTCTGAGTCATCGGCTGCACCAGCAATTATTATTAGGGCTGATTGGTTATGAAACTTGTTCATTAAAGTGTGTCTCATGATAATCTCTTTTAATTAGAAGGTATCTGAGCTTGTCTTGCATGGGGTCTTCAAGATGAATGTCTTAGGGCTGGTAAGGAGGCGAGGTCCAGCCCTTCCCGGGGCCGTGGTGGCCAGGGATGCAGAGGGACCCCTGTGCCTTCACCTTGGCATGGAGCAGGGGGAGATACACCGTGACAGTCCCAGTGGGTTCCTGCAGTGCTGGGATGGCCTCAGCCCTCCCGACAGCTCCGTGGGGATGTGGTGCTGCCAGGCTGGGTACCAGCTCCATCCGTGCCTCCCGTCCCGCAGCAGGGCAGGGATGGCTGCTCTCTGGGTAAAGGGAATGACTCTGATCCCTGAGCCTGTGCCCCTGGAGGAGCTGCTCCAGAGCGTGCTGGAGGCAGGGTGGTGCTGCTGCAGAGACAGGAGATGTCCGGATTCTGCTGTCCATAGCATCTTCCCATGGGAAGGGCTGAAGACTCCTTTGTGCTTCCAGCCCGTGGTGAGCGCAGTGCTCAACCCCAGGGGTGAACACCGCACTGATGCTCCTCTCTTCTTCACAGCGGCGGCCACCTGAACCCTGCCGTGTCCTTGGCCATGTGGCTGGTCGGGGGGCTGAACATCACAATGCTCATCCCTTACTGGGTCTCCCAGCTCTGCGGAGCAGCCATAGGAGCCGGCCTGGCAAAGGTACGGATGTTTTGGGGTACAGGGACACCCCCAGGGGCTCCAGCTGCAGTGTGTGTGTGATGGGGAGGCTGAGGGGGACCCAGTGCTCGGCTCTGCGGGTGATTGCAGGCTGATTGCTCACAGGGCGACACGCTCGGAGGCTGCTGTGTGGGCTCGGGGCTTGTCTGGTGCTCGGGTGTCTGGTTCCTCCTCCAGCTTTTTCACAGTCTGGCTGCAGGGCTCAGACAAGTCGCCCCCGCTGCGGTTTGGGGCTGACAGCGCCGTGCAGATGCGGGGGGGGGGCACATCTGGGGTGATTCCTCCTCCCCGGCAGCTGCTCTCCAGAGGTTTCTGTGGGCACGGGTTGTGCACGGAACGGTGCCTCTGCAGCTCCAGCCATTTCCACTCGCAGTGTTTGCCTGCGCTCTGGGGTTAGTTTGAACTTGGTGCTGCCCATTCCCCGCACCCGGGCATCCCATGCACGGCGCCTCAGTGGCTGGGTGAGGCAGAGCGGGGCTGGCTCATTGTCATTGTTACCTGGGTTGATGCTAAGAGCCCTCAGTAATGAGTTTACACTCGCTCAGGCCTGGCTTTCAGGAGCAAAGCCATGAGATCAGTCCCCCTTTAACCTGATGCTGCCCACGCTGTCCCGACAGTGAGCACATGTGGCCTCTAAAGCCCCCAGTGTGGAGCATGGAGGCGCAACCAGGGCTGTCCCCGCACAGGCTGTGGCAGCGAGCGAGCGGTACGGGAACGCCAGCGGAGGAGCCTTCACCATCATCACAGCTGACGATCAGGTCCCCTCTGTCCTCGGGGGTGAGATCATCCTCACCTCCTTCCTCGTCCTCGTGGTCTGCATGGGCGCTGCCAATGGGAAGACCAAGACCCCGCTGGCGCCTTTCTGCATCGGCTTCTCGGTCACGGTCAGCATCTTGGCAGGGTGAGCTCGTGAGCCCTATCTCCATGCACATTCCCATCGGGCAGCTGGTGCTGTCTGCTCCTGCAACTGCTGTCACCACTCAGGGTGCCCCGAGCAGGGGTCAGGATGGGACCATCGGCTGCACGGATGGAGCTGGTGCTCAGAGCGTCCTGCGGTGCCAGGGGCAGCTCATAGCGCTCAGCATCATGGTTCCCTGCTCCATCCTGGCTGCTGCATCCTGCATCAGGGAGAGTGCCTGCAGATGGGATGGGAAGTGCCCCCTTGCAGCACAGCACAGGACCTGCTGCAAGGGAAACTGAGGAAAGCCGGGGAGGCTGCCAATGACCCAGGTGCCCCTCTGATGTGCTGAGAGGAGCTGCTGCGCTGGAGCCAGAGCAGCCTTTGCATGTCCTGCGATGGGGCGAGAGCACCCAAGGGGCAGTGTTTGTCCGAGGAAGCCCTGAGCAGCCCAGAGCGGGCTCATCCGCACCCGCTCGGTGCGGCCGGGCCCTGGTGCCGCTGCGGCGGGTACCGAGCGCGCAGCCCCGCATGTTAATGGGCTCTTTAGTTAAGGCAGTGCCCCCTCTAGCGGGATCCGGGGCTGTGATTTCACCGCTGCACAACCGCCCCGCGGCAAATATTTACCCATCTCAGCTTCCTTTCATCTCTAAGCGCTGCTGCTCCTCCTGCCCCGCTCCAAGGGGTGGTCCCGAGCATCCCCTGCTTAGAGCCCAGCTCCTCCTTAGCCCCAGAATAGGCTCAGCCTTTGTGCTTCCACCCAGCGCTGGCTTTTCCCCTATAACTGGTGAGCCCTCATGAGCACAGGCAGGTGCCTGGTGGGGAGAAGCTGTCCGGGTTGGGATGGTCCCTGTGCTGCAGCTCCTTAGGCTGCCACCTGAGCACCAAGCATCCATGCATGAATGGGTGGTCCAGGGCGCTGCTGCTGCCCTGAGCATCACCCTATGAAAGGCCGGGTGCTGGTCCCATATCCCACAAGGGCTGATGTGGCTGATTGGTTTCTCTTTCAGAGGTGCTGTGTCTGGAGCCTGCATGAACCCTGCCAGAGCCTTCGGGCCAGCTCTGGTGGCCAATTACTGGGACTATCACTGGGTTTACTGGGTAGGGCCCATGGTCGCTGCCCTCCTCGTCAGCGCGCTGGTGAGGTAGGTGATGCTGCGGTGGTAAAGAGAGAGGAGCTGTGCAGGATGAGTCCCCCTATCCCAACATGCCTCCACCCAAGGGCTCTGCCCTGCACCCTGTGAGCAACCCCTTTTCCATGGAGATATCCAAGGCTGGAGACTCCTTTCCCCTCTCCTTCTCATGAGGACAGGGAGACATCAATCTGTGCCCTAATCCGTGTGTTTGCTCCATCCGTGTTGTGGTGTGGGGCAAATTCAGGCTTAGGCTGGCACCGGGCCCTTGTCGCTGTGTTTCTGTTGTGTGCTTGCAATGGCAAAAGCACTGACCCCAGGTTTCTCTCTCTTTTACCTCCCCAAAGGACCCTGCTTGGTGACGGGAGCACCCGCCTGCTCCTCAAGTGATGCTGGCCATGGGGCTGTGTTTGTGCCGTTGTCACTGACCTGCCATGGGCTGGTGCAGCTCAGCACAGCCGCTGTGAAGCCCACCCTGTTCCCGGTCCTGGTCCTGCTCCTCACCATCCCACCTCCGCTCTGCCCCTCCTCACAAGCCCCAGCTCAGGAGATGCTTCCCTGGATGCTGCAGGGACAATGGAAAGCAGCAGCTCTGAACTGGGCATCCCTGTGCTGGCAGCAGGGCTGGGCATCACCTCTGCACCCCAGGACCAGCTCCCCAAGGGCATCCTCTGACCTGCACCAGTGTCCACGGGGTCCCACGGGGCACCGGCAGTGCGCAGCGCCCATCCCCTTGTGCTCTGGTGTGCGTGGCTGTGGCCGGCAGCATCTCCAGCTCCCTAGTGCAGGCAGTGAGAGCTGCTGGCTCCCAAACACCCCGGGGGGAGCCTGCCTGACCCTGCTCAGGTGATGCAGCCCTGCCTGGGGGCCCTGTGGCACCGATCACTTTTGAACTTAACAACAATGTTAATTCCCAGCCCTGATGCAGGTGGTTACCTCTGCCCTGGCACGGGCCTGCGAGAGCTCCCCAGCCCCAAACGTGCTGATGGACACTGGCAGGCTCCATCCCCTGCTCCACGCTGGCTCCTGCATGTCTCCCATTCGTGTTTCTGCTCCCTTCTCAGCACTCAGCCCATGGGGATCCCACGTTCCAGCACCCAGGATGCTCCCCTAGGGGATCCCACTCCTCATTTTGTACTGTGACTCCTCAAGCAGGTCCAGGATGATGCCCACAGAAGCTGCCACAGAGGAGGGTGATGGGAGGAGGGATCTTTGGTGACAGCCGATTTATGGCCTCTCTCAGCATCATGAGGAGCAGGGGGTGATGCAGCCATCAAGAGCTCGGGGTGGGTCCATCATCCCCTGCCACAGGACGAGCGCTGGGCCCGGGGGGCGAGGGGAGGGGCTGTGTGCCAGCGGGAGCTGCTGCCGTAAGCAGGAGCCGGCAGGAGGAGGGTGATGGAGCTGTGTGGGCAGGGGGAGAGGAGCCAGCGCAGGGCTCTGCGTCAGCAGTACCCGGCCCCAACGGCAGCTCTGCCCTGACTCATCGTGTGGGCTCCCCAGGTGGGGTTCATAGGGACCCCCTCCCATCCCCACTGCTCATCCCCAGCACCCAGTGTCACTGGGAGTGCTCCCAGAAGGGAGCCCCTCAGCTCACCTGGGTTTGGTCACTCCAAATGCTGCAGACCTACCTTGGGTAATGGCCTTGGCTTTCCCAGCCCCTACAAGCGTGCCCTGGGGAAGGGGCTGTGCTGGGAGAGCCGTGTCCCCCTTATGGGGCTGCCCACCAGCCCCGTAGCGGGGTCCCGATCCATGAACAGGGCTGGTGTGGGTGCGAATGGGCCAGGCTGCTGCAGGCGGGAGCAGCAGCATCTTTCCAGGGCCAGGACCCATGTGCTGGGCCCTGGGTTCTCCCTTTCTCCTGCAGCCAGCAGATCTGGAGGGAGGAATCCCCCCGGATAGAGGAGCTGCTTCCTACCTCTCCTCACAGGCTGCTCCACGCAGAGGCAGGGAAGCCGTTGCTGTGGCAGGGAGGACGTTCCCAGCTTCCCGGTGTCCCCGCGGGGCTGGCAGAGCCCTACACGCTGTCTCCTCTCTATTTCCAGCTCGGTTTCTATTTTCCCAGCCTGGGAGGTGACCCACACGTGCACACACACGCACAGAGATGTGTCTGTATTTAGAAAAGGACAAGGTTGGGGAGCTGCTGAAGTGAGGAAGTGCCAGAATTAAAGCATCCTTGACGCAGGGAGGTGTTTGCCTGCATCCCTGCCCACAGGGGCTGGGCAGGGGGATGTGGTACCCTGTGGTACCCCCACGACGGACAGCGTGAGCCCCGGTGACCAGGGCACAGGCAGCTGCTCATTGAGGGAGGAAAATGATGCAACCACAGGAGGAGACAAAGCACATGAAGATGTCACTGGGTTGGTTGTCATGGCAACGCCACCAAAAGTGCCAAACCCAGCAAAGATCAACCTCGCTGCCTCCTCCCCATAGAGAGCCTGGGGGTATGGGGAGCTGATGGGGGGGTCCCAACCTGTCCTGGGCCCTGCTCAGGCTGTTGAGTGACTGAGGCTGTGGGTCCAATGGGCATGGTGGGTGCCCACCTTCCCCTTTTGAGGGGAAGCCTCACCCCAGGGTGTGCAGGAAACACGCTCGTGGCTGCAGCTGCCTCTGCATGGAGCTGATTCCCTGCTGCACCCCAGGGTGCTGCTTCTGGTGGGTGCAGGGTCTCAGGGCCATGATCCCACTGCGGTGGGGATGCTCCTGAGCATCAGCCCTTGTCGCATGGCTCAGGGAAGGGAGGCAGAAGGAGGATGTCCCGTGCAGGGCTGCGTGCGCTCCCCTGTCTTGCTGCTGCTGTGCTCAGCACACATGGGGTTCATCCATCAGGGTGACTCTTCATAAAGCATCTGTAACAGTGCCTTGTTTTCCTGGAGTATTATTAAAGAGCTTAATTTATGCTAATTAAATACCAATTAACTCCCAAGCACTTGATGTGTTTTAAGGACATAAAATACATCTCATTCCCCTTCAATCCAATTTGCGTCAGGCCTGGCCATGGGTCTGCGCCGTGTGTTTGTCAGCACATGGATCTGCCACGGAGCTGGGATGCGTCCTGGTGTTTTCTGGGCTTTCCACATGCATTGGGGTGGAGATGCTGCTTGGGAGCAGGCAGGGGGGCAGCTGAGCCTAACGGGGGGACACTGGTGAGGTGCGGGCTGGCAGGACCCTGATGCTCACACCCCTGAGGGATGCAGACCCCGGGGGGATCCCAGGGCACCCAAAGGCTCTGCAGCCATCCTGCACATCCTCACCAGGGTGTTATCGGCTGCGGTTGGTGCCAGCGCTCTGGGGACATGTCAAAACTCAGGGTGTGCTCTGGGCAGAGCACCATGGGATGTTTGTCTGGGCTGCCCTCACGCTGCAGCTCTTCCACACTGGATAAACACCCTGGTTAAACCACGACGGGGGGAGAAGCCGTGCTGAGGTGAGCATCCCAGTGCCACCCATGGCAGGGAGCAGCTGGGGTTTGTCCATGCAGGAGGCTCCTGATGAAGACCCAAGTGCAGCTGGAGTGCTTCTAGTTCAGCACAAGAAATACATAGCTACTGGGGTAAACGTCCTAATGCCGTTCCTCAAGGAATGGAGCTGGATGGGGCTTGGAGCAAGCTGCTCTAGTGGAAGGTGTTCCTGCCCATGGCAGGGGCTTGGAAATGAATGAGCTTTAAAGTCCCTTCAACCCAAACCACTTTGTGGTTCCATGTTTCTATGCTGCAGGACTGAGACCCTTATGGCCAGAGAGCCGGCTCCACCACCGCAGGGATGCCTGAGCACCCCTGAGCTCACCTCCAGGACAGGGATGGTCCAAGCAGTGAGGAAGAACATGCAGAAGCAGCAGTAACCGTGTGTTAGCAACAACAGCGATCATAACAAGAGGAAATCAGCAGGGCCATGCGCACAGCGAGGCTCACAAAAGCCTTTTCATTCACCCGTGGGCAGAACAAGGCCTCTCTGTTCCCTCACTACCCCTGACCCCGCTGCCAAGGGATTCAAGAGCCCCCGGATGTTTTCCTTCCACATTCTCCCCTCAGAAGGACTGGGGGTGTCTTAAGGTGCTCCCCAAAGCCTTCTCTTACAATAGCAGCATCCCCGAGCAGAGGCAGCACAAGGTGCCAGGAGTGTGGCTGCGGCACAGTGTGATGGATGGATGCTTTTTAGAACATGCCCCATGAGAGCATCTGGGAATCCTCACTGTGCTCTGCTGGAAAGGCTTTGGCAGCCTGCAGCTGCAGCAATCACAGCCTTGGAAATGAAGGGTGACTGGGTTCTTATAGCTCATTTTCTCCATTGGGCAGAACCACAGCAGGATGCTCTAACCCTCACCAGGCAGAGCTGGACCCATGGCACCAGTTTGCTCCTCCTGTCTCCCTCCTTCCTGTGGGAGCAAACTGGGGGGCTCTGGAACCGGCCTGCGCAAAGAAATCTTCAAATCCCATAAATTGCACCTGCAGCAATAGCCTTATATGAGGAGCTGCAAAGGAACAGGGAGCAGCGCAGCTCCTACATCTCCTGCGTCGTCCACAGCTCCTGCATCTCCTGCATCGTCCACAGCTCCTGCACCTCCTGCATCATCCACAGCTCCTGCATCTCCTGCATTTTCCACAGCTCCTGCATCTCCTGCATCGTCCACAGCTCCTGCATCTCCTGCATCATCCACAGCTCCTGCATCTCCTGCATTGTCCACAGCTCCTGCATCTCTCTCATGTCCCACGTGTCCCGCATGTCCCATGTCTCCAGCAGCTCCTGTATCTCCTGCAGCCCTCACACCACCGGCAGCCCTGCAGTGCTTCCCATGCAGCCCATGCTGTGCCTGGCACATCTCTTCCAGCCCACCCCATGCTCATCTCCCGGGTGCCTGCAGCAGCCCTGGGAGCCCCCCGCTCTCCGCCCGGGTGCTGGTGCCATGGGGAGCTCCCCGGGGCGCCGCTGCCGGGTGCTGTGTGGGCACTGCCATGGGGACGTGGGGACAGCGGAGGTGGGCGATGACGTGCGGAGCCGGTGCCGCGCGTGAGCTGGCATCTGCATGTAGGAGACGGGAGCGAGGCGATGGAGAAGGGAGTGGGAGTGGAAATGTGTTCTGGGGAGGCTTTCGAAGCCATTAGCGGGGTCCAGGCAGGAGGAAGCATCCTGCCCTCCTGTGCCCGAGGGCTTGAGGCCCCCAAGGCTGGACAGCATCCTCCCCGTGTGCCACATCCCTCATTGTGTGCCACATCCCTCCCCGTGTGCCACATCCCTCCCTGTGTGCAGCCCCAATCACTGCACCATCCTCTGCTGCTGCATTTGCTGCTGCTGCCCAAGAACCTGGTGCGGATGCCGGAGCAGCCTCCCCCTGACTTGCATCAGAGCACAGAGCAGAGCCCCAGCACCACAACGAGCTCCAGGGGCTGCTGCAAGCAACGACAGGCAGAGACCTGGGGTCTTTCATGGTGACACCTTCTCCATCATGGTTTTGGGAGCCAAAGCACTCCCAAACCTGGCTCCCCCCACATCAGAGTGGGAGAGGCCCTGGAGCACGGCTGGTGGAGGAAACGGGGTGAGAAGGGGTGATCCCTCCTCTTCCCACCCCCTGCTTCTGCTCCAGCTCCTCATTTTATCGATCTTCAATTTCTT